GTGGTCTGTAATCTTACCAATGAGGATTCTGTAAAGCTTTTTTCCTGCAAAGCCGTACAGATCCTGGATGACAATACCAGGTGTGGTGACATGAGTGCAGCCTGGAGAAGTTCTCTCTGGTAGCAAAGGCTTGATTTCAGTGTACAGAAGAAGGTTTGTTAGGAAGTGGAAACCATCTGCCATTTGGCAGCTGTGAAGCAGCCAGAGCTCTAATGCCAAGAGGCTAGGAAGAACTTGCTCAGTGCATATATGTGAAAAACAATTCGGAGTGTGGGCATGAAAGGGGCTAGGTGAGGAGGTGGTGGGGATTGGTTTCTAACTCAACATTTGATTCAAAGAGACCGTCCCTTTCCTGACAGACAGATGCTGAATCTCCCTGCAAATGGTAGTTAGACACAACATAAGTTTAGTCCTCAGGGACAAAGACTCTAAACCCCATCCATTAACTTATTTAAAACTCTATATCCTAGTGGCTCATGCCAATGAAGTGCAGTCTAGTACAGTGAATTCAGAACTCCAGTTAAAAATCTGCCTCAGCTAAGGATTCCCTCTGTGGTTTTGATATGCCTCAATTTCTCCATCTGTAAGAGTGGAAAGAATACCCCTTTACCTCACTGGGGATGCACGTGGCATGAACAGTTCATGTCCATCCTGTGCTTTCATCACGTGGTGGGATGAAATGTCTGTTTTAGAGCTTCTTCCATAAGAATGAGAATGGGAGCTAGAACAGCAGTGGTTGAGGGGAAGTGTCACAACTGAATAGTCAGCAGCCTTCTTTTAATAAATGGGCAGAAGCTGCCTTCCACAGGCAATTTCTACTTCTCCCTTATACCCAGGTTATTTAAAGTGTCTTCTATTTGACATAGTATTTAAGGGTGGATCATCTTGATGACAAGAGTTAACCTCAGGGGGGGTTCTACTCCATTCAGTGAGTTACTGACCCTCACATTGTTCCTGCAGGGCCCTGGGAGTTTCCCATGAAGTCTATTAGACATCCCCCTAGGAAAGTGCTGAAAGAAAGAACACACTTGCATAGCACTAGGAGCCTTTCAGAGACAGGCTCATTGGGATGGGGAATGGCCCAGTTCACCAGTTTGGGAGGAGTGGGGAGAGAGAGTCTGTTCTTTCTAGATCTGAATAACCTGTTGATGTTTTGCAACATATCTGCTGAAGCTGGGGTTATAGAAACACAACAAACTCTTTGTGAGCCCTCTGGGATCATACAAGCCTAGCTATGCAGAAAGATCTCATAATAGATCATTTTGGCTATACTTCACCCTTCAGAGCCTTGGAAATAGGGTTAGGATTATTCTGAAGATGTGACCAGTCAGCCAATTACAATGGTGCTTAAAGGAAACACCCCAGCAAACCTCGAAGCTGGAAGTGGCCTGCAGACATGCTGAAGGTCATGTGCTAATATGCCTTGTTTTCAGTTGGTATGCTGTAAAAAGAGACAACCACGACTATTCGATACTTTCCCCTGTATTAGCTCCTGTAAACAAATGTGGAAACCAAACAAGTTCTTAGGCAGTCAGATCTGGTAGGGAAGAGGTGTCCAGTCTATTGTGAATGAGGGAAAAGTGGCCATGAAGTCTCGTAAGAGTCAGACTGTGAAAAAGTTGGACAACCCAAGGCTAGAGCATGGACACAGGACTGCCTCTTCTTATCTGAATCTTAGCTGTTTCCATTCTGTTCTAGGAGGGGAAACACTGGCACCTGCTGGAAGACCTAATCATACACATCCAGAACAATGCATGTCTCTAGATATGGGAAAAGTGAAGTTTTAGCCTAAGCAAAACAGAGCCAGGTGGATGGAGACTGGCAGTACCTCTAGTGTAAATGCCATGAAGGGGCCACTGGTTGGTGTTCTAAAAGGCTCTTAGCATAAAACTGCATAGCTGTTCCCAGAGGAAACATGGCTGCTGCACCCAGTACAGGGAGAGGAAAGAAAAACGAAGATAAACAGAACCTGTCCAGGACGCAGGCAAGAATGTTGCTGATAGGATCAAACCTCTCACTGGCTCTACTCCTCTAGGCAGACGGCAAACCCAAGACTGCAAGCCTAACACCAGGTTATTGCATGTGTGCCAAGAGAAGCTGCCTGCCTGCTGAGCCTCTCTGCTCAGGGATGCACCCTTCGGGAGTGTTCAGCACAACTCTTCCCCTCGAAGAAAGCAACAAGAGCAGCAGCTGCAATTGTGCTCTGACATTCCCAAAAGCCACAAGAGCAGCTTCAGAGGGCGGTGATCAAATTGGGTGTCTGAAATGATTCCACTGATTCCAAGTCTTTACAAACCAAACTTTAACTTAGCAAATATAACTTATACAAACTGGGAATTTTCACAGACATTCATGTACAAAGGAGAGCGACTGGCAGCAGGCGCCACCCAGGAGGAAAGAATTTAAACATTAAAAAACCCCCAATGTTCGACCTTGTTTAGAATCACAGACTCAGCACCCCTTAGAGGAGCCTGCAAGAGAGACGTATTTGCCCACTTGGCCCACTTTCATGGGGAAGGCTGGCATCTAGGTTTGTTGAGAAGCAAGGTTCTCTATATAGCGGCCTAATCCAAAGCACCATCTCATCCTTGTGGTAGGAACCCACTAACTGTCCTGCATCTAATACCAAATATCACATCCTTCAGCAAGAAGCCCCCATCAGTTTGGGACAACAGCCTTTGGTGGCAGGCAGCTTTTGAGCAGGATCAAGTACCGGGAATTACTGCCTGGTAGGAAGACACAGGTCACTCTGGAGTGGAAACGGTAACAGGGTGATGCAGTAGAACACCTCTCCAAACCGTTGCCAGCTAAAGTGGAGAATGTAAAGGCCCATCCTCTGTGCTGGGGGAGAGCCGAGCTGTTGCTTTCCTGGGAGAGAGCTCAGCGGCTCCTTGATCACTTGTTTTGTGTAATGTTTGTCATCAGCAGTTTCAGAAAGCTTGGGATACACATCCCTTAGTGTTCCTTTAAGCCAGACCTGTTTTGGTTGCTATGACAGACGCTCATTGTGTACCTTGAAGTGTACCAGTCACCACAGGGATTTTAATGTTCTGAAGACAACTTAATACCATCGTTGTTCAGGGTGCTTTCAGCTCATACTGTGTTGTTTTATGCCCACTGTATGTAAACTATGGGAACAGCAACCAAAGCCATGAGAGCTCAGGCTCCCTGGGTTTTCAGCTGGTGATTGAAATAAGTCCACCTATTTTCTTTTCTCCCATCTCAGTTTAATTTCTTCCTTTTAAACAAAAAACAACTGAAGAAAAAACACATTAGAAGATGGAAGTAGCAGATCCTAGTCAGTCACTGTGCAAACCCAAGCCAAAAAACTGGATCATGTCATCCCAGCTCCAACAAGCAGAGCCCAAGCACACATATCAACTCCAGCTGCTTCTCATGCTTCAGATTGGGTTGTCTGACTTATTGTTGTCCGTGTCACTTGAGGAAAGAGTTAATGCACCTAAGCTTAACCGTTGTGTTAAATGCTGTGTGTTAATAAAATAAATGTCTTTTTTGTGCACTGTCTGCAAAGATTTTCATGCTGATGAAGCCACCAAGATCTTAAAAAAGTCCCAACAGACTTGCTCTGCTTCTACAATGACACTGTCAGACATAGGACACATCAGTGCTGAGGTGTTGGAAAATAACCTGATGCAGCATGCACCCAAAGCCAACCTATACGTTAGACTTGGGGGCTGAATTCAAGGGGATCTCTTTGAGTTCTGTTCTCATACATAGGTACTCCCCGATCACAGCCATGAGTGCTATGCACACAATATGCACTAGCCACCAGGTCAGAGTTGTGGGGAAGTGTGAATTGTAAATCCAGCAGCCCAGAAGGTGGAAAAAGTGAACTGTGACTGTGAAATCCAGACACTGCTTTCCTCGTCGGATGAAATACAGCAAGCCCAAAGCACTGCAAAAGGAAAGGAGACAGATGTTAGTAAAGGAAAACTGTCTTCTAACATAGGAACTGAAGAGGATGGGGATCCAGCAACAGCCTCCTGGAAGTATCTGCACTGACTGTTTATCTACTGGGAAGAGTTCCTGTCTGTTCGGAGGTCAGGGCTATTCTGACTTACATTTTGCAGCAGTGGCATTGTGCAAGTAGCTCACAGCATTTTACTTATGTGCTGAAAATCTCCACAAGCTCTCTCAAGTGCCAGTTTAATCTGCAGCTCAAATGGGGAAACGGAGGGAGCAAAGTTAAATAACTCATCCAAAGTTCAGGAAGAGTCTGTTTTAATTCTAAGTCAGGAGTTACTTGTTCCCTGGCTTGTGCTTTGGCCTTCTAATGCATAGGCCACATCATCAGTTACTGGTGGAAAGGAATCCTTAATTTCCTCCAACAAAGACAAGACATACTAGTCCTACACTGACATGGCTTCCAGTGACTTTAATATGCAGACCTTTGCCTAAAACAGCACATGGATCAGACAGCCACTGAGGTTACCGAGCCCTTCTGGAATCATGCTGGGTAAGATCCCTCCCTCTGTGGGCTAGTTCCATCCTAGAGCTGATACCAACTCCATGAACTTTGCCAAAGGGCAGGGCCTAGATCCCTGGAAACCTCTGAGAGCATAAGGCAGGTGGTTTAGTGGGAAACCTGTGCTGAGGAAAGAGGATGAATCTGCCAGGGAAATGTGGAATTTCTCACAGGACATGCCTGAAACAGAAGCGAGGGCAGATAGTGATAGGGGAGACAGTGATTGCCCCAGGTGTTGAGGGGGGGGCACTTTGACTGGGAAGAAGATTTTAGTAGACTCAGCTGGAGGGAACATCAGATTCATCTGGGGACACAATGTGTGTGTCACAATGCAGCTGCCTCCTCAACAGCCTATTGTGTGTCACTCTCACTTGTTGCATCATATATACCAGTAGCCTGCAAGCTCTTCAGAGCCAGAAACTAGTGGCTCCAATGTTATAAAACCCTATCCCTGCATTGTAGTCGGAGCTGACCCAAGCAGGGTGTGGGGCCCGGAGCAAACCATCCCATGCGAGACTCTGCACCCCCCCCGGATCCCGTGCATCCTGGATCTGAAAAAGCTGCCGCAGCCATCGGCAGCAGCGGGGAGGGCGGGGGGGCAGCGAGCGGCTGGCTCCGCAGGACCCTCCAAAGCACGGGGCCTGGGGCAGTTTCCCTGATTCACCCCCCACAGGGACGGCCCTGAGTGCAGTACAAGGGCTAAGAACAAATTATAAATGTGGGCTCTGTTTGTGACAGCCTTAACTGACAGTCAAAGCCCAAGGCTAATGCTGCACACACACATCGGAGGCACTACCACCGTGTCCTTCCAGGTGGCAAAAAGCTTCCCAGCAACTCTGCAACATTCACTGAAGATGATGTCATATTCCAGGTACTATGAGAGTCGCACTCTTGTGGACCCAGAGGGGCAGCCTTCCATCTTCAGCTCCCTCTGTGCAAAAATTAAGTTTATTTCCTACCCATGGGGACTTTTTACCATCTTGTACCATCTACACTTTTCCCAAAGCCTGATGAAGGGACTTTGCTCCCAAAAGCTTGCAGAAAAGGACAATTTCCTTGCCATTTTCCAGTTGGTCTAATAAAAAGTATCATTTTGGAACCAAGAGTTCTAGTTTTTTGTAGGTAGCATAAAAGGCATCCTCAGGGTCTGAACCCAGCATGCAGTCCCATTGCCAGTGCAGCATGGACCCCACCTGCTCTAGACCAGCACTCGGGTGTTCACCACTGTTTGCCATCCCCCTCCCCCCGTGCTCCAGACACGATCAAGCCTGGCGCAGGCAGGATGGCACAGCGCAGCCAGCCCTTGCTAAAGCAACCATGTTTCTGCAATGATGCTTATGTTCTGAGCTCAGAGCGGCTTTCCAGCCTATGGCCTACAGCAGGGATGGGCTGTTATTCTGGCTGGAGGGCCACTTAATCAGTTTTGGTGTCTTCTCAAGGGCCACATGAATTTTGGTGTCCTCTGGAGGGCCACATCTCTCTCCCCCCTCCTTCCTTCAGAGCTGTAGCATGGCCCAATTTTTTTTTCTCTCTCTCCCTGTACTCTTCTCCTGCCCACCTGTAGTATGTCCCAATCCCCATGCCTGCACTCTCTTCTCTTCCCCTGAGCTTCAGCATACCCCCATCGTCTCCCTGACAGCATGGAGATAGCATGCCCTGATCCTCACTCTCTCCAAAGCTGTAGCAGGCCTGATCCTTTCCCCCCCTGTAACTGCAGCACACCCAGCTCCCCTATGTCTCTCCCTCCCTTCCCCCACCCATGCCTGAAGCTGTAGCACGTCCCAATCCCCACCCAGAACCAGCTGGGCCCCATCTGCAGCTTATACCACCACTGACCTGATACGGTGGAAGCAGCCCTGGGTGGGCACCAGCATCTGCTGTGGATGCACCCAGCAAGTTCTGGGTGGGCACTGGGGTGCCTGCCTGGGGCCATACCTGATGCCCCCGTGTCAGCAATGGGTAGAAGCAGTCCAGCCTGCCCACCCACCCTGCCCAAGGGGAGCTGTCCTGCCTGCCTGGCACCACGCAACAGCTGCAGCTGGAGCCGCTGGCCATCCGCAGGTTGGGTCCCAGGAGCTGGTGGCCACCCGCCTGCCCGCCCCCAGGCTGGGTCCAATCAGTCAGTGGGCTGGAGCCAGCCTGCAGGCTGCATTTTGACCACCCCTGGCCTACAGCCACCTACAGTGACCGAAGGCCTCTGCGTCACCAGCCCAGGTGGTGCCTTTCCTGCACGCTGCGAGTGTAAAACAACCGACTGCCACTGGACCCATCTCCCTGCTGCACCGCGGCCGGTACCGAGGCCACCACGGGTCCTTCTGACCTGGGACGCTGCCCACCACCGCTCTGGGCAGAAAGCGCTGCGGGGTCCCGCCCTGGGCGACAGTGTGTGCGTGCTGCGCACGTGTGGCCGGGCCGGCGTGCACGTGTGCGTGGGGCGTGTCTGTGCGTCGACGCGTGTTGCCGGGGGCACCTTTGCCTGTGTGCGGCACGTGCGTGCGGCGCGGCGGCACTTACCAGGTGAGCGCGTTGAGCACGAAGGCCATGACGGCGAGGCGGCCGGGCGTGGCGGAGAGGCCCAGGACCTGCGGGCGACACGGAGGAAGCTGGGACCGGACC